TGTGGCGTTTTGTACCTTTATTTTACTTCCATTATAACACTACGTATTTCATCAATTGCATAATCGTTTTTTGTTTGAATACGAAAAACTATAAAAACGCGCACTCGTACAATTTCACATAATACAAGCATAATCACGTGCTTCGACTCTCTCTTCTGATTTTCGCTTGCGCTTGTAGCGGTCATTCGCGAGTCTCATGTACTAACTCTGGCACCAAAACATTTCAGACCATCTTCGCAATCTATTATATGTGGAAACTGTTCAGAAGAAGACCTCTGGACCAACGTAATTGGATTATTGTTTATTCGCTGACCTGGGTCAACGACGAACTACTTTAAAGAGGACAATTGTTAGTGAGTCTGTTCCACCTGACCTCTATTTTGTATACCAAACCTAGCGCAATTATTTTTATTTCTTTGTCACACACTTCTGGTAAACTAACTTATCGGGTAGCCAGACCACTACAATTTTGGTGAGCCCGAGTATTTCTAGATATTTTTTGAAAGCTTTTCCTTGGAAGTCGTCGTAATTTTGTTCCTTTTACCCGCTAATTATGGAGGCACACTTTGATTCAGCGGATTTAGTCGAGAATGCGATTAGAATACGTTTACCAGACTACAATCCACGCAACCCCAGGGTATGGTTTCACCAGGTGGAGGCTGTTTTTACCGACTGACGCATCACTTCCCTAGCCACGCGATTTTCCTATGTTGTCCAGCATCTTCCTTGTGATGTAGCAACAGAAGTGGATGATCTATTAGAAGATATTCCAAAGGAACCCGTATGACGCCCTTTGAGCGGCCGTCATAAGTAGGACAGGAAAATCAGAAAACAAAATGCTACGGGCTCTATTCACCACTGTCGAACTTGGGGACAGATCGCCATCACGACTGCTTCGCCACATGCGCAGTCTCCTCTGCGGCCGTAAGCTAGCGGTGGAAATCATGGCCCAACTATGGCTCGACAAACTTCCACCCTCGATGCCCCACGTCATTAGCGCTTTTGTTGATGACCACAGCTTGGAGCAGCTAGCCCAAACTGCGGATAACATACATGAAACATGCCCCAGTAACCCCGTAAACTCCGTCTCCCGCCCTGCGCCCACTACAGATTCCGGCCCGCTTCTTGCTTTTATATCGCACCTACAAGCCAAGTTTGATGCTTTGACCGATCGCCTACAACGGTTAGAGATCAACCGGCATCGACCACGTTCACGATCCAGATCGTTACCTCGTGCCCGTCCCTCTTGGTGCTGGTATCACCAATCTTATGGCCCAAAGGCACGCAAATGTCAACCACCTTGTTCCTCCAAGCCGCGCTCCAACACCCCTTTAAACACCCCAGCCAGTCAGTAACGGCGACGACTGTCTGTGGCCCTCGCACTAGTCGCCTGTTCCACATCACCGATCGTTCTGGTCTGCGTTTCCTCGTATATACGGGAGCTGATGGTAGTGTGCTACCACATAAGAATACGCTTCCCTATTATCCTTCTTTCTCCTTACAAGCCGCTAACGGTACCCGCATCGCTACATACGGCGAACGTTCCCTCACTCTTGACCTTGGATTGCGACGTGCGTTCGAGTGGATCTTCCTTTTGGCCGACGTCCAAACAGCCATCATCGGTGCAGATTTCCTGACCCATTACAATCTATCTGTCTACGTGCCACACAAGCGTCTCTTAGGCAAGCTTACTTCCCTCTCAATTAACGGAATCAGTGCCCCAACTTCATCCACAGGTATCCGAGTTATCTTAACGGAATCACATTTTGCTGACATACTTAGGGATTTTCCAACCCTTACTCACCCATGTCAGTACACCCAACCGGTCATTCATTCCGTCGTTCACCACATTCAGACGAGAGGTCCACCTGTCCATGTCAACCCCCGCCGACTCCATCCGGATAAGCTACAAATCGCAAAACACGAGTTCGAACACATGCTCGAACTCGGCATCATCCGCCCTTCATCGAGTCATTGGTCATCACCCCTACATATGGTACCTAAGAAATCTAAAGGTGATTGGAGACCCTGTGGAGATTACCGTTCTCTCAACAACGCTACTATCCCAGACAGGTATCCCATCCCACATATCCACGATTTTGCAAGTACCCTATGCCATACAAACATTTTCTCCAAACTCGATCTCGTAAGAGCATACTACCACATACCCGTAGCTCCGGATGACATTCCCAAAACAGCCATCACAACACCGTTTGGCCTTTTCGAATTCACGCGTATGCCCTTTGGTCTTCGAAATGCAGCCCAAACGTTTCAACGTTTCATGGACGAGGTTTTACGTGGCTTACCGTTTGTGTACGCCTACCTTGACGATGTTTTAGTCGCTAGCACCTCCCCAGCTGAACATACAGCTCATCTCAGAGCAGTGTTTGAACGTTTTTCCACTTACAACATACGTTTGAACATTGACAAATGCTTATTCGGTGTTACTAGCCTGGATTTTCTTGGCCACCACATTGACGCCACAGGTATTTCACCATTACCCGATCGCATTTTGGCCTTAGAGTCATTTCCCATGCCCACAACTATCACTCAACTTCGTCGTTTCATTGGTATCATCAACTACTACCGGCGATTCATCCCTCACTGTGCAGATATTTTGAAGCCACTGACCGATTTACTTGGCTCCAAAGAGAAATCTGTTACTTTGCACCCCGCCGCCACTGCTGCTTTCGAAAGAGCCAAGCACGCCATTGCTCAGGCCACAAAGTTATCTTTCCTCGATACTCACGAGAGCACAAAGCTGATTTTGACAACTGATGCTTCGAATGCTGCCGTCGGTGCAGTGCTTCATCAAGTTGTTAACAACACACCTCAACCACTAGCGTTTTTCTCGCAGAAGATGCAGGCTGCCCAAACGCGTTACAGTACTTTTGGTCGTGAATTACTCGCAATTTACCTTGCTATTCGCCATTTCCGGCACTTGTTAGAGGGTAGATCGTTTACCATTCAAACCGACCATAAGCCACTCACATACGCCTTCAACGCCAAGCCTGATCGATATTCACCACGCGAGATACGCCATCTGGATTATATTTCACAGTTCACTACCGACATTCGGTACACTCCAGGTTCGGACAATGTCGTCGCAGACGCCTTATCCCGTCCTGACATAAACGCTCTTCACCCTTCCACGCAGTTGGACCTAGCCAAGCTGGCGAACCTTCAAAACACTGATCCTAATTTTTTGCCTATTCTATCGTTCCCTTCATTTCAAGTCTCTTCAACTCCGTTACCCCTCCAATCCGGAGCCATTTTTTGTGATATGTCTACCGGATCAGCTCGCCCAATCGTCCCCGAAGCTTTCCGACGCGTTGTTTTCGACCACTTCCATGGATTTTCTCATCCAGGAATCCGAGCAACCAGGAAGTTGATTAGTGCACGTTTTGTATGGCCCTTCATGAATAAGGACCTGACATCCTGGGCCAAACAGTGCATCGCCTGTCAACGCACTAAAGTAACTCGGCATACGAACTCACCTATTGGTTCATTTGCCGTTCCTGATGCTCGGTTCACACACGTCCATCTCGATATTGTTGGTCCTCTTTCCCCATCAAACGGTTTCACTCATATCCTTACCATGATTGATCGTTTTACCCGTTGGCCAGTAGCTGTACCCATTTCGGATACTTCAGCTGAAACAGTTGCTTTTTCATTTTTGCAACACTGGGTTAGTAATTTTGGTATACCTTCCACCGTTACTACGGATCGCGGCTCACAATTTCAGTGTAATCTCTTCCGTGAGTTTTCTACACTATTCGGTTTCCATCACATATCGACTACCGCGTATCATCCCTGTTCCAACGGTCTGGTTGAGCGTTTCCATCGCTACCTCAAAGCTGCATTGACTGCCCAAATGAACCCATCTTCATGGTCCTCTTCTTTACCCCTCATTTTGCTTGCTATTCGCTCCACTATTAAGGAGGATCTTCACTGTTCCCCAGCCGAACTAGTATACGGTACAACTCTACGTCTACCCGGTGAACTAGTTTCCCCTTCTGGCGCACAGCCCGAATCACCCGTCACATTCGTCAGCCTTCTGAAACAACATATGGCCGAACTTCGTGCGACACCGACCAGACGATCAACGCGAACGGAGCACATCTCAACCGAACTCTCTTCTACACCATTTGTATTTGTCCGACATGACGCAACAAGGAAACCCCTCCAACCTTGTTACGATGGCCCCTTCAGGGTTATCGAACGTCACTCCAAATACTTTGTTTTAGAGAGAAGCGGAAAGCGTGATACCGTCTCCATTGATCGCCTGAAACCTGCCTACATTGAAGCACCCACGACCACATCCAGCAATCCCGCTACCCCAAAAACAACCACACCTGCCCAAGATATCCCTGCCTCCAACCCACTCCTTCCACTAGTCGTTCAGGACGTTGCTTCCGTTTCCCGCAGCACTTAGCTGAGTACGAAACTTGAAGTAAGCAAATTTGTGATTCGATACTTTATTTATTCGGGCGTTTTCCCTTTTCACGGTCAACGCACTAGTGGGGGAGTATTGTGGTACCTTTGTTTTACTTTCATTATAACACTACGTATTTCATCAATTGCATAATCGTTTTTTGTTTGAATAAGAAAAACCAGAAAAACGCGCACTTGTACAATTTCACGAACTTCAGGCACGGTCACGTGCTTCAACTCTCCCGTCTGATTTCGCCCGCGCTTGCAGCGTTCATTCGCGAATCTCGTGTGCTAACTCTGTTATCAAAACATTTCAAACTATCTTCGGAATCTACTGTATGTGGGAACTGTTCAGGAGGAGACCCCTGACCATCATAATTGGATTATTGTTTATTCGTCTGATCTCTTTATTTTTGCATAAATAACCTAGCGTAATCATTTTTATTTATTTCCCACACACTCCTGGTAAACTAATTTATTGGGTAGCCAGACCACTACAGACGCTCCACCTCACCCCCGATACGGTTCATGTGTTTGTATGGAGACTTCTGACTTGCTGTGGATTGTGTAGAGGACTTCAGTTGTGGATGTTTTTTTACTTCGCAGTCAAAAGGCTTCTCATGGTTGCGTAGCCGTTCCAGTTCACCACGCCTGGAAACCCTTGCATCGTCGCCATGCTTGATCAAGCTTAGCCGTTCGCTTCTATGTTCCGCTGCGGATACCGTGATGTTCAAGGCATAACTCTTTCTCCTATGGCACTTTGTTCAGATTGACTAGGTGATGGATGAAGTTTATGCATTCATCCTCTGTTTGCAGTGTTTGCGTGATGTCAGCACGCACAAGGCCCTACAGCACTGGAAAGTTGACTTTCCTTATGGTGAAACTGACGGTTGTTTTCGTAAATGGTCACCGTGACCAAATGATGTTTCATGCGTGAGCGCTTTCGTCAAGCGTTCCTCTCCTGTCAGGATAAAGATCACCAAAGATTGGGTCCTGAGACCTACTTCAGAAGTGGATTCCGTCACGGTTGAACAGCGGTACCGATGGACCTGCGTCTGGCAGTTTTCCTTAGGGACGAGTCTCCATGATGCTCAGTTTGGGGATGAAATAACGTTGACGTCACTCTTAGGTAACACAGTAGAGTAGCTCAGGTTGGTTGCGGTCGGAATGTCATCATTGTCAGCAGCATAACGTTGGTTTTCAACACTAATGATTTGCTGCCGCTGTTGGAAAGTCGGGTAATGAAAGGTCATCATGGGGTCTATTTAATCTCGTGATCGATGAGATAATGAGATGAACGCTTGAAGGTCTTCAGAACCCTTGCACTCAGAAAGCTGATGGTGGAAGTCCC